AGTCAAGGATTTTCCTGGAAAATCATTATACTATGTACATTTTGTGATTGAAGGATTTATGGAATTAACATCTGCATTCCTAAATTCTGTAGCAGATTTCACGTTAAGTTCACGTTTTTTTTTTGATCAAGTAAATTCGATCGATAAATTCTCACCGTACTTTAAAACGGAAGAATTTCTAGTACAGATACAGCTTGAGAACATTAATTTTAAGAATTTCCAAGCACAATACAAACTAGCATCCAGTACCCGCATACAGGAGAAAATAGCTGTCAGTATAATTTTGGACAGTTTAATGAGTAAATTTAGAAAGTAGACAAAGGTACAAGGGTTAGGTTTCATTTTTCTCTTTCCTTCCTTCACTTGGCCGGCCAAACTTAAGGGATTATGGCCAAAAATTTGGCTAGTGAAGTGTGCTACATGGACTTCATGATGGGATTGAGTCAAATCAACTATTGGACATGAAATGCTACATCATTCCCTCTTGAAGCACTCCACCGGCCAGCCACAATAAAGGGGGGGATTAATCCAAAAATCTAGCTAATTAAGCTAGTTTGGTAGACTTAAATGAGAACTAAGATGAGATCAAGAAAAAATAGTTTCCAAGTGCCTATAAAAGGAACCACCATAGGATAAGCCTCATTTTTTTTTTCCTAGCTTTTCTCTCCCCCTCAAAATCCGGCCATACCATACTCCTCCACTCTTTCTCAAATATTTTCTCCTACTCTCCCAATCTTGAGCCACTAGCAAACCATAGAAGAAGAAGAAGGAGATCAAAGGGTCTAGGAAGAGTCTAGACAAGCATTTTTTCAAAGGGTATAACTCTAAATCCTTTTTTTTATGTTTTAGTAAAGTTTGAAATGTAGAAATATTCCTCTTAAATTTCCTTATACTTTCTAGTTCCAAGCCAATAACAAATCTTAGAGGAGTTCAAGGTTTTTCAAGGGAGAGAGAGAGTTCTTCAAGGGTAAGTTCTCAAACTCTTCTCCATTTATTTCTAGCCAACTTTGAGCTTGGATTTGTGGATGTAAATTTGAGGTTCTTGAGGAGATGAGTTGTAATAAGGGTGTGTGAGTTTTATGTTGGTTTTGTGAGTTTTGAGGTTAGCTTGATGTGGTATGTTTATGCTTGATTTAAGTTGCTTATTTTCGGATTAGAGGAAAAAATTTCCAGTGACCTTGACCGCGAAAATGAGGGCCATAGAGTGAGATTTTTCAATGTTTTAAAGCTTAAACTTATATCCCTGGATGTATTGAACATTTTCGGTTACTATGACTAAACCTAATTTTAACTCTAAAACCAAGTTTGAAGTCATTTTGCAAAAACGGACAATCTGTCCAACACAGTTTCAAAAAAAAA